TTAAGTACTACTTATAAGAAGTGCTTAATAATTAATATTATAGTACTATAATAATTATATAAGTAATATAAGCTTTTTAAGGTATAATAGATCTATAGTAATAATAACTTTACTAATAGGTTGATAAAGTCCTTACTAAACTAAGTACTTAAGAGTCTTATCTTTTATAATAAAGTAAAAATATAAATAAAGGAATAAGTTATATATATATAATAGGAAATAATAAAAATAATAGAATATAGGATAATAAGCACTTAGAGAAGAAAATAGGTTATATAAACTATATAGATTAATAGTAGTTAAATTAATCTAATATAAGTATATACTTTTAATAGCTATAGTTAAAAAGAAATATACCTAAATAAGATAATATAAGCTTACTTTTACTAAGTAAATGTTATAAAAAATAACGCTATTAATTATAGGCAGTAATTAACGCCTTATATTACCTTGTGTAACACACCCCCCTAGATTACAGAGACACTTCTGTGTTGTGTAATCTGCTTCTTGGCTAGCAGAGAAGCTACCATGACCCCCCTCTGTGATCCATTATTAAGTCCTAATCAGGGGTCTTCAATTAATCGCTGTAATAGAAGAACGCTTAGCTGACTAAGCTTAATAAGGTCAATCGGCCCTATAGTGTCTACAAGGGGAATCAAACCCCTAGGATCTATAATGCTTAGACGCTAACTCTGCACTTATACTATAAAGGTATAATATAGAGTAAACTAGGCTTATAACTATTATAAAAAACAACACTATTAATTATAGGCAGTAATTAACGCCTTATATTACCTTGTGTAATAGTAAATAAATAAGTAAATTTATAGTAGTATATAACTATAAAAAGTATAATACTTTTACTTATTTTATTTTTATTATATTTCTAGGCTTTTTAAAAGAAATAAGAGCACTAGTAACTTTTACTATATAAGAAAGTTACTAGTGTTAGTATATAGGTAATATAGCTAAAGGCAGTAGGTTATATAATATACTGCCTACTAGTAGAATCCTTTACCTTTGCCTATATATAAGGGTACTACTACACTTATACTTTTACTTTACCTTAATAACTAGTTAACTATTAATAATAACTACTAATTAACTATTCTTTCTTAACCTTTATAATATTATAAGAAAAAGATCTCTTATTAACTAACTAGTAAAAACTAATAATTACTATTATTAGCTAAATAGATTTCCTTACTAAGATATAGTAATTTAGATAATAAATATATAAGTTAAAAGACTATAAATATAAGATATTAACTATAGTAAGTTACTAATAGTTATATTATTAATATATGCTTAATTAACTAAGGATATTATTATAATTAACTACTGTATTTATATACTTTAATATATATACCTATAGTAAAAGAGTGTTTCTAAAGAAAAGCTATTAAGATATAGATGGACATCTATATACTCCTAGAGATAAATCTACTTTATAGGATAATATTTAATATATAAAGTAGCAGCAAGTAAGAAAGACAGGCTACTAAAGCAAGCAAAGAGACAAGTGTATAATATAACTAAAGATAGTACTACCTTATAAGTATAATTCCTAATAAGAAAGTTAATAATACTTAATATAGTATAAGTAAAAGTGTTATAAGAATATATACTGCCTAAGAAGGTTAAATAATTCTCTAAATAGATTAATAAAGCACTACTAGGAAACTATACCTACTAGTTATATAACTAGCTTACTTATAAAGAAGTAACTACTTTTATATAGCCTAGAACTAGAATAGCTAGACTAAACTACTATTTATATTAAATTAATATAGCACCTTTAGCTTTATATAAGTATAGACAGGTAGTAGAAATAGTATAGTATTTTCTATTCTAATTTACTAGGTAGATAGCATTCTAAACTAAGATACTCTAGTATACTAAGATATATAGAAGTAATATCTTCTTTTACTTCGAGGGCAAAGGCCCCTTAGATAATAAAAAGTAAAAAGTAAATATATAAGTAGTTTAAGTAACTATATAATTTATAATAGTAATAGGCTTTTAAGATATAAGGTAACAAGAAATAGGATTAGAAGACCTCTTAATACACTAAAACTAATATAACCTTAACTAACTACTAACTTATACTATAAACAGTAGGTACTAATTTAGCTACTATAGATAAGATATTAAACACTTAGAGAATAAGCTCTAATTTAGTATACTAATACTAAACTATACTATAGGAATCTATAACAAGGAGGCAAAGTTAGGGGAGTAAGCAGGAAATAGAAATAGCACTTATATGCTTTTAGGAGACCAGGGTATAAAATTAGTATTATATATGTAGTCAGCTTTAGTAGCCTTTTTAGCTTTACTACTAGGCGTAATAAATTATATATATATATAGTAAATTACTTTATTAATAATATATTAGATTATATATAGAACCTGTTTATTATTAATATAATAAATATATACTATAAAATATAGTAAATATAAAAAGAGATTTATAGTTCTTTATATATATAAATCTTATCTTTATAATAAACTCTATTATAGTGTATTATATTTAGTATAATACTACATTAAAAGTCTAGCTATATATATATAAAGGTAACTAATTAAATTAACTAGCTAATACCTTCTACCTTACACTATTACTATAAATTACATTAGGTAAAGTAAAGTATTAATCTCTTTACCTGTTACTAGTAACTACTAACTATTACACTTTATTTATCCTTAAGATACCTTCTTAATAACGTTAACTTAGGCTTAAATTAACTAGAAATTAAAGAAAGAATTAAGAGCTTTTAACTAACACTTGTTCTATAATTCTTGCCCTTTATACTAAAGGTAAAACAAAGAGTATAATTACCTATTAATTTAGGATTAACTAGACTACTATATATTATATATATAATTAATAGTAATCTACTAAGTTAAATATAAGCTAGCTAAAGGCTAAAGACTCTTAGTAGTTAACTACTTAACAAGAGTATTAATTTATTTACCTTTTACTTTATTTACCTAAGATCCTATAGAAGAACCTACTTACCTAGTCTAAAGTTAACACTTTAAAGATAACTTTATAGCGTATTCTTTATTATTATTATATCTAGAAATCATAGTTAGCCTAGTGTCTAGTATTAATAGCTAAGGATACTTAAGAATAGCTTGCCTTTTGCTATAAATAGAAGGGGAAAAAGAATATCCTTAACTAAGGGATCTTTAGTAATAAATACTTAGTCTAACGCTCTCTAAATAGAATAGTCTAGGTATAGTAATATAGCTATTAAAAGTTTTATAAAGAGAATATTAACCTTATAATATATAATAAAGATCTTAAGGTTATAGTCTAGGTAAAGATAACCCTAGAGGCTATATTACCTTTAGTGTTTATAAAAAAGGATAATAATACCCTAAGGAAAGGTTACTCTTTATAAAGTTTATTATACTACTTTAAAAGAAGGACTTTTACTCTTTTATATAGCTAGGTAACTCTTTTAATAAGATAATACCTTAATCTATATATTATACTATATCTAAGAGTAGATTAAGGTAAAAAGGTATATAGGTTATTAACTAGCTATATTATAGCCTAGACCTTAACCTTATTAAGTATATATAGAAGGCCCTAAAGAATAAACTCTATAAGTTATATTTAATAGTTAATAACCTTCTAAAACTAGAAACTAGGCAACAAGAGCTTTAGAGGTAGTTACTTAAGGTATATAGGGCTCTACCTTTAATACTTACCTAGAGGTTAATAGATTTAATTTAAGATAAGATTACTAAATATATTAAGGCATAAGGCTAGTATATATAATATTAATAATATATATTTTAGCTAGTATCTACACTAAAATATTATAATAGATGTTTTATTAGCCTTGAATAATATAGAGCTAACATTATGTGACCCTTATACGTGTGGCCAGACTTTTGACCTAGTACTGTAGGTCAGGAAACTACTAGTGTATAACTTTTTAATTTATAACATCTAATTAGTAACTATAATAGTTTTTAAAAGTTTTTATAAGTACTAATAATATAAGTAATGCACTGGCTATTAGTACTATTAAAACTTAAATTATATTACACTAGGCCTAAAACAAGAAAACAGATTATAATTGTAATCTCTGAGGCACCTGCTAAGAAGCCTAATCCTGACAAGGCCAACCCGGAGAAGGCTGATCCTCAGAACTCTGACACTACTGCACCTGCGCCCGTCAAGCCCGACGCTACCTCGGCCACTGAAGCCCCCCAATCCATCTAAGTCATTAAGGGCCTGATCGGCAAACCCGATAACAGTCCGATATCAGCTGTACTCCGATAAGAAAATACATAGGGTTAGGGTGAAGGAGAGTTTAATGCAAGGCCAAAGGTTAATTTGATAGATGTACTGCTTGAACCCCTGCAACAGCTGTGGCCAGCTGCAGCCTACTGGCATCACCGCTGCTAGCGCCTACCCACTGTTGCTAGCGCCCACCTACTGTCGCCAGCGCCTACCCACTATCGCCAGCGCCTACCCACTATTGCCAGCGCCTGCCTACTATTGCTAGCGCCTACCCACCTGCCCACTGTTGCTAGCGCCTGCCTACTATTGCTAGCGCCCAGCTGCTAGTGCGCCTACCTACTGTTGCCTACTGTTGCTAGAGATATTAGTCTATTTCTGACACTTAACCTAAGTCTAGAGCCTAGTAACAATTTATATAGGGAAAGTAGGGGATTTAGTAGATCTACTGATAAGAAAGTCATATTTCTTAGTAGTATATAGCCTACTCTAATATTATTAGAGTTCTATAATATAGAACTAAAATCATAATGTACACTCCTGTTTTTGGCCTAGTGTAGCACGATTTGAGTTTTCTGGTACTTGTGGCTAGTGCTTGGTCTGTGATATTAGTCCTTATTTGAAGTGTCAAATGATATCGGCGGAGCCGATCAGGCCCTAAGGCAGTAACAAGCTACGATCAAAAGATAAGTACATAGGAAGCCCCTAAGTAGCACATAGACTTGACAATAGGCTTGTACAGATAGCATACCCTTCAACCTGATTATAATTCATTAACCATGTTTTCTCTACGGTCTATATTCCTTACTGTTTTACAGCTGCACCTAGCGCAAGCAAGCAAACCGCAGATTGGGTTTGAATTAGAAAGCTTTGATATGTCCCTTTTCAACTTTCGCTGTTCAGAGGATGACTATTATTCTATGAAAGGCCATCAAGTAGCAGGCCAAAGAGGCAACAACTGGTTCCTCGGTGTGGATGATACGCCGGCCAAGACTTGGAGGTTGAATCCTGAATACGATATACGTTGCGATTTAGGTGATCTGGAATCGCTGAAAGGCATAACCCAGGAGGTTAAACAAAGTATGGTAAGTAACAATCTTTTCATGCAAAATAGAGTACGAAAGGCTAATCATATCGCTATAGCGTTTCCTTGGTTACGCTAAACAAGTTTGGGTCCAGAATAATCAAGGCAAGAAGGACGTCTGCAACCCTTGGAAGCCCAGACAGCTCTTTTCTGCCCTGTCTAAATCGCCTGACAAGGCTATATGGAATCTACAAGCTACAGCGCCTCTCATGCTTGAGGGTATACAAGATCTCTTGACTACAGCCGTCAAGAAAGAAAGGAACCCATTGGTAGGGGTTTCTTCCAGAGCGAATTTAGTTTATATCCAGAAAAGCTGGATAGACTCCAACCAATTCTTGAAAGAGGCAACTGGTGGTTCGTACTGGGCTACGCAGGACATGCTAGGTTTCTTGTCGGTCGTATCATCGACTATGCGAGCCGCAACGGAGCTTAGTGCACCCTTTTACCAACCAGGCAGGAAATTCCTATACTCGCTAGGGCCTAAAGGCTTGATATGGATCATGCCGCGTCACTACTGGACTTCGGTGTTCAGTCTAGTCAGGGACAAGATGCCTAAAGATGTTAAGCTTTGGGATATTCTTGAACATCTGGCGTGTTATCGAAACACTGTAGATGGTCAGCTTCAGTAAGTAGGAACTGCATGAAGCACTTGGAGAAAACACTAGAAGGGAGTTAGAAATGTTATGCTAACTGATAAACGCCTAGGCTAGATGAGAGATTCTGTGACGATACAGGGGACAAGAGAAAGCCTCAGCCGAATGGAAATCTGCAAAAGCTGGCTTGGTCGCTTAAGGGCGGGAAAGATCCTTTGACTGTTAAGGAGTGGATTGACAGTATTCAGTCTACATCTACTAATGGTCATGACCTCCCAGATGCTCTCAGTGAATGGGATGAAAAGCATTTCGACGGCCAGATCGGTGGCTTTAGTAGGCTCGGGAAGCCTTTTGAGACCGCTTTAGGCTCAAAACGCAAGATTGCACTCTGGGAGTTTCGCGGATTAGGCGATATTACACAAAGCCAAATATCACAACATCTTGAGGCAATTCAGGTCCAGGTTGTAAAATTTCACAAGAGGTACTCTAAATCACTGCCATCTTAATCTAATAAACTTACTCCCTTTGGTTATTGCGTAGCTTTCTACAACTTGGTGTAAGGATATGTTACGGTCAGTAATCCGACAGTAGGGTCTCCGCTAATAGTATAGCTGAGATCTGTACTCGGTACAGTACTTGTTGGCTTGCTGCTCTATTGATCACTCGGTGATCAATCGGGTGGTCAAAGGTCGTAAGGGTAACTCGTATAGCTTCTTGTCAATGAATTACTAAAGGGTTACTGAAAGGTATTCAGAGAATTTATCACAAATCTCAGGATGGCGAGCCTGACAACGCTCCACTGCACATACTTCCAGCTCGTCGTGGTGACAATTCACTCGGCCGCTTTCCGGTTGCCTTGGCTAGAGGCTCAGGAGGGTACGGAAGCCGTCGACATCGGCCCGAGTCTCGCTCTTTGTGTGAGTGCGTCGCGCGCCGCCATCTCGCTCTTGAAATACCATCAGATCGACCATCCGTACACACTGTAAGTGGACTGATTCCACATGACAAGGTCGCGTTGCAGCTCGCTAATACCAACCGTCTAGATACCTGTTGTATCAAGTTGCTTGGAGTGTAGACATACTCTCTGTTAACATCATCTAGAACAAGACGAATCCACGCGCGCATCACGACCTCGAACTCATCCGCAATGTAATCTCATTCTTTGAGAAGTACGACCCAACCCATCAGTCGGTGGTGTCGTACCACATCATCAAAGTCATCGCCGACGTCGCCGCTTCTGTCCTGGCGAATACCCCAACGCTGCCGCCGCACATGCTCCCCGTCTCCCTCGGAACCTCGTCCATCCTCGAACCGCCCCAACAAGCCGCTCCGATGACGGCAGAGGTACCCGTGGATGCTTTCCCGCCCCCGATGGGAGGAGCTGGGTCGGTTCGCAATGGCAGCGTCAATAGTGGCACTACCGACGTCTTGGGTTCCATGACGAGCCTCTCTGTGTCTGACGCACAGCAGCAGCAGCAGCAGAGCTTCATTTGTTGTTGTTGTTGTTGTTGTATTTAACGCTGGGCTATTCCTGTTATAGGACAAAGGGCGCCTGGGGTTGTAGGCTTCTAGCTAATAAGTAAGTACAAAATAACACTAATTATAGTCCCTCTCTGTCATAATTAGTATGTCTTTTATGCTATTGTCCACCCTATGCTTCTACTAATGTCCTAGGAGTTTAACTAGAATTAATCCCTGCTGTTAAGTGCCTAGGGCTCTTTAGCTTCTAGGATCTATATAGTATTCCCTAGTTAATTTATATTATATAAGTCTCCTAGGGATTTCTATATACTTAGTTATATAGTACTACTTATATATCTATATTATTCTAAAGTTACTTTTTACTATAGTTAGTAGTAAAAGTACTTTATATACTATATTAAAAAGTTAAAAAAACAAAAGAAAAAAAAAAGTATAAAGGTATAAGTAAAGTAGTATTAGTGTAGTAGTAGTAGTAGTATAATTACTACTATTACTAGGGGGGGAATTAGTAAATAAGTAAGTATTAGTGCACTTAATACTATTATCTAGGCTTAGCTACTAGTAGCCTAGGTGTTAGTTATCCTATAGGAGGTACTAGAGTAAGGTCTTAGACTACCTATAATAAAGCCTATACTACTACTCTATATTACTACTACCTAATAAATACTTATACTAGTAGCCTTAGCTACTATATATTTAAGAGTACTATATAGTAATAGTAGTATAAGTAATAGGTTAAGTATATCTTTTATACCCTAAGGTAAATTATAGTATAAAAGTTATTATTATTAAGTAATAAAATAAAGTTCTAGAAGTCTTTTATTATTTACCTAATAAAGTATAAGCTATTATTAATCTAGGGTAATAAGTAGCCTTTAACTTTCTAGTACTATAGGGGGTATCTAGGTGTCTTTAGGTTACTATAGCTATAGTATTACTTTACCTTATTATATCTAAATCTATTATAATACTTAGTAAAGTTACTATATTTTAACTTTACTACTATTAGCTAGTATAGCTCTATTTAGCTAAAGGTACTAATTTCTAGTGTAGGTTTTAGTGTTATATTTAGCCTAAGTGTTCTATAGCTATCTAGGTAGTACTTTCTTTACTATATAATAAATACTTTCTTTTATTACTATTATAGTTCCTTCTTAATATAGCTATATATTAGAGGGTAAGTATATAGGTCTACTAAGTATATTTTTATACCTTCTTTTATAAGCTTATCTATAAGCTTATTTTTACTTATCTATATATATTTTAGTACTTAGTAAATATTAACCTTCTCTTTATAGTCTTTTACTATCTTAGTAAAGTCTAGAAATACCTTTTATAATAACTTTATTAAGGCACTATTTAGCCTATAGATTACTACTATATTATTAAGGTATACTATAATACTATTTATTTTTTTATTATACTTAAGTGTTTACTAGAGCCTAGTATAGGCCTCTTTTGCTTTAGTGTTATATACCTCTTTATAAAGTAGCTATTATTTACCCTAGTAAATTAGCTCTTTACCTTAGAAAATTATATACTTATAGCCTATCTTGTCCCTTGTTTCCTATAACCTATTAGTATATACTATTATATATATTAAGGCTAAGGTCCTTATTTATCTATAGTAGGCCTTTTTTACTTTCTTCTTTATTTATCTCTCTATTTAATAAGTTAATAGTTTATAGTATATCTTATATTATAGTACTAGTTAAGAAAACTTTAGGACACTTTTAGTAGTATCTATAAGGATTATTAGGTAGACCTAGCCCCTTTTCTAGTTAATCTAGGGAAATATTCTTATTTATTAGGTTAAAGAGTAGTCCTTATTAAGGGTCCCTAGTTATAGCCTATAGTAGTTATATATAGTGTCTAGTAAAAGCTTAACTAAGGGTATATTTAATTCTTATAAAAGGATTAGTATAAGAGTTATCCTCTATATTAGTAGGTAACCCTTTATTATCTTATTAACTACTATCTATATCTAGCTAATATACTTAGTTAGTCTATAGTTAATATAGGGTAAGCATTAATATATATGTTTTTAGCCTTGTCTAGCCTGTCCTAGGTACTAGATTTCTAATATATATAATGCCTAAGAGAGAACTATTATATATATAGTATGTCTTATACTAAGGGGAAAAGCTCTCTAGTAGACCTTATTAAGCCTTATAATATATTTTACTACTGCTTTTACTATTACTATTTTATTCTTAATATACTACTTAAGTCCTAGTTGCTTATCTAAGTATATACCTAGCTACCTTATTACTAGCTTAGAGAATACTTCTTTTTTCTTATATTAAATAGTAAGGTTATTACTTTTCTTTTTTTATAAAAAGTATATTACTTTTATCTTTACTTTATTAAAGTATATTTTATTATCTTTTCTTTATTTTATTATTTCTTTTAGTATTACCTAGGCTAAGTCTTAGCTATATTCCTCTATTCTACTAATATATAGGATCTTATAATTATTAGTATAGCTAAACTATATTCTAGTATTACTAAACTAATATAGAAGCTTAATATAGTAGAGGTAGAGGATTAGTAACACTAGTAAGCCCTAGGGGAGGCTATAATAGAGAGGCTCTATAGAGGATATATAATCTTTAAAATATATATAGGCCTTTCTTCTTATAGTAAAAAATAAAGCCTAGTTAACTATATTATCTAGTTATCTTTACTTCTATAGAATTCTAACTAGTTAATTATTATTAACTATATTAATTACCCCCTAGATATTTATTATAATAAGTATATAGTAGTACTTATTATCTAGTATAGCTTTTATATTATATACTAAAGAAGTTACTATATCTATTACTAACCTCTTTAGTAAGGCCTTAGCTACCTATAAGTATAAGACCTTATAGTTAAGGTATTTCTAGGCTAGCCTTCTTACTATAAGTCTCTTTAGCCCTTTGCCTATTATTAATAGGAGTAATATTAGTCTTTATCCTTTAGGTATACTAGTATCCTTGTTTAGCTTTAGGATTATAATAGTTTCTATATCTTAGAATAGGAGTAAGTAGTACTTTACTTCTAGGTATCTTTAATAAAGCTAGTATATATACTTGCCTATATATAGCTATATAGTATATAGTATAGTAATTATAATTCTATTTACCCCTAGGGTAGTATTACTTATACCTAGAAGTACTACCTTAGCTTTTTTAACTATTATATAGTAGTTTTATTTAATCTTTCTCCTAGGTATAGTAAAGGTATATAGGTTAATATTAGTACTAGTACTAAAGTGTTCTAGTAGCTGCCTTCTTAGGACTTTAGCCTTCTTAGTAGGCATAGTAACTATATCCTTACTGTCCTATAGAAGAGGAGACCTAAATTAGGTGCTAGGTTTATATTATCTTATTACTTTATATAGGTCTTTATTAGTCTTTATCTTATTTATTTATTCTATATAGTATTTAGACTTAGCCTTTTAAATAGTGTCCTATAGTTGTTTAGTAGTAATCTTTATCTTCTTATAGTTGCCTTATAGTCTTATTGTTAGCACAACAGATAGGCTTAGATCTCTTAGAGAGAATAATAGCCTAAGAGTATATAAGAGAGTATATCTCTTATATAAAGATATATCCTATAGAAGCAAGAATATAGGATAACAGGGGTAGATATAGAGATATAAGGATATAGATATAAAGAGAGTATAATAGTTAGTCTTATTATTTTATTACTAACTAATCTATTTTACTTGCTTACTTACTTACTTAGAGAGAGAATAAGATAGACTAGAAACAGGAAGAAATTTAGCCCTTATATAGACCTATCTAGCTTACTAGAATATTCTATACTTACGTAAGCTACTTATAAATCAACCTAAGATTATATAACTTAATAACCCTAGTTAAATAACCCTAACTTAAAGCAGTAACCTTGTTAAAGAGATAGTGTTAGGAGGAGGTTTCTTAGACATTCTAGTACCTTCTCCTATCTTCTAGTGATTATATAATTAGATATACTTATGTAATTAATATATATATTAATCTACTAAGTTAGTAGATTATAAATATATATATCTTATATATATATAACCTCTATAATAGAGGAAATATAAGATAAAGAAGTATTAAGAGTATAAGAGATACTCTTGGTTCTTATACTTCTAACACTCCCTCTTTTACTCTATTATAGAGTAAAATAAGTGAAAAAAAGTACCCTGGAATAGAATACAATATCTAGAGATAGATCTTAATAAGTATAATAACTTATTAAGGAAGAATCCTAAAAATATTAGGAAAAATATACTAATATATAAGTATATTATATAGGCTTATTTTTGTTATATAAGCCTATTAGCTTAATAAATTCTTAAAATTTAACCCTAGAAAGAGGTTTTATTAAGCTATTAGTAGGCATAGAGAAAGTAGGTATATATTCTACTTCTATATTACCTTTTTCAACCTCTTGACAAGTATAATAGTAATATAAGGCAGTATACTTAGTCCTCTAATAATATTTAGGGTTATAGGCTAAGCTTAAGGCTATATTATTATCTGTTTTAATAGTAATAGGGGTTATATTATACCCTATTTTAGATAATAAGCCCTTTAACTAGACTACTTTTCTAATAGCTTCCTATAGGCTATTAAATTTAGCCTTAGTAGTAAATAAAGAGATAGTTAACTATTTTTTTAACTTCTAACTAATAGGCCCTCTAAGTAAAGTAAAAAGATAACTAGAAGTAGATTTTCTAGTTTCTTTATAACTTGCCTAGTTAGAATTAGTATATCCTACTAGGTTAAAGATATTATTAAAGCTATTATTATCTATATTACCTTTATAGGTAATATTATAATTAATAGTCTCTTTTAAATATCTTAATATACCTTTTCCTTGCTTAAGTAGGAATTCTATAGGGTTATAAAGGTAACAAGAAGTAAAGTGTCATAGGACAATGTGGCTGACCTTTGGATCTACTTCTCAGCCTTGCCAGTGGATCCATTAGTTAGGCCAATATCCTGCTAACAGCTAGTGCCCTACTAGGCCCTACCTGTCGCCAGTCTATAAGACCAGCCGTTGCTAGCTAAAGCTTTAGCTCTTAGTTAGTTATTAAATCTA